GACGAGTACACCATGGAGAGGGTCCTGGAGGAGTTTGAGCAGCGATGCTACGACAATATGAATCATGCCATAGAGACCGAAGAGGGCCTGGGGATCGAGTATGATGAAGACGTCGTGTGTGACGTCTGCCAGTCGCCCGATGGTGAGGATGGCAATGAGATGGTGTTCTGTGACAAATGCAACATCTGCGTGCACCAGGTATGTGGGCAGCGAGGCCCAGAGAGAAGCCACCTGGGGCCTGAGCCCGTCTGCGCAGGGAGGCGCCCCACAGACGGGCCGCGCGCCCGCTGGTCTGCGCGAACTTGCGACGTGCGCCCTCGGGCAGCGCTTTCTGTTCCTGGCGGCTCTGGCCACATTTGCAGTGCGTCCTGCTACTTTTACAACCAGAAGAATAGACTCCTGTGGGATTCTTCTTCCTTCATGTAATGTTTTTATTCCTGCCTGTAGAAGTCAGGTTTACTTAAACCTCTGCCCTGTTCCAGCAGCTTGAGTTTAGGTATTAAGAACACCGGGGGAAAAACCCTCTTGACAGGGTGGTTACTTTGCTGGATTAGTTTCCTTCGGCTGCCATAACAAGGCGCCACAAACTCGGTGGCTTAAACAGAAACGCATTGTCTTGCGGTTCTGGAGACCAGAAGTCTGAAAGCTGGGTGCTGGCAAGGCCACCTCCCCGAGAAGCCACCCTGCCTCTCCTGGCTTCTGGGGGTTTGCTGACAGTGGTTGGTGTTCCCTGACTCGTGACTGCACAGCTCTCACTCTGCCTCAGTTGTCACATGGCGTCCTCCCTGTGCCGTCTTATAAGGACACCGGTCAGACTGGATTAGGGCCCACCCCACCCCAGAGCGACGTCATCTTACTTAGCTCATTACACCTGCAGCGACAGGTGTTCCAAACAAGGTCACATCCCGAGGTCCTGGGGTTAGGGCTTTAGCATAGTTTTGGGGGATACTGTCAAACTGTAACATGTGCTGTCGTGTCAGTATGTAAACGGAGCTGTTCGAGACGAGGAGAGACCCCTTTCCTGGAGGGTGACTTCGCGCCCCCCGTCAAGGGTGGACCCTTGCCCCTGAGTAAGGACGGGCACTGGGTGATTTAAAAGCTTGTGACAGTCTCACCTCTTTTATTTAATTTTTTTTAACGCACTATTGAAGTAACTTGGGTTTCTGTGGGGACACACGTTCACATGCACTCTCGGGTTTAAAAGGCTTTTCTGACTTGTTTTCTTTGAATTCACCTGTTGACGCTGAGATGTGAAACAGACTCACGTGGAGGTTGCTCGCGTGACTTTCTCGGGAAGAAGATTCAAGTTTGCTCCATGAAGTTCTCTGATTGTTGTTTTCTTTATAATGTATCTGCCTTACGGTTTCTCAGCCTGAAGACTTTACCAGCTGTGTCCCTGTCCCAGGTCACCCTGGCGAGAGGTTTGGTACTGAGACTCGGTCTCTCGCTTTAGCCGTGCTGGATGGAGCTCATCCCGGAGCTCATCCCGGAGCTCATGCCGGAGCTCATCCCGGAGCTCATCCCGGAGCTCATCCCGGAGCTCATCCTGGAGCTCTGGGTTTTCAGACTGTCCGGGAAGTTCCCTGGGGAGAATCCCTGTCGTGTTGTGGTGTCATGATCATAAGCCCTGTGACTGCCATGGTAGCTTTTTTTGTTGCTGGTGGTATTAACTTGGATGCCATTTCATTTTTCTTCCTGAGAAAAATTTTGTTGAGAAAAAGGATTCTGCGTGAAAACTACTCAGAGCCCCAGTTTCATAAGTGAGTTAACTGATACTGGGGCGGGCTGTTCGAGGCCCCACTGTGGCTTAGTGGCGGAGCTGGACGGAGCTGGACGGAGCTGGACCTCGGGCTCTCTGGGCGCCTGGTCTTCTGTTCTTTTCGCCATACCCCACGTGGCCTCTTTTTCTTAACATTTCCTTGTGGTTCATTTTTCTTTTGTGTTTTTCTTCATGGCTTGACTTTAAGGCATACTTCATTTAATCTTTTAATTTTGTTTAGACTTGTTTTTCCAGTAAAAATATTATCTCCTCAACTGTGACTTTCTCTAGATAAAGCCTGATAGAAACTTTTAGTGTTTGAAACTGTGATAATGTCATTGAGGTCTATGAACTTTTTTTTCCCCAGTAAGTCTGTGTTGACAGTGGCTCATCAGTGGCTCATCAGTGGCACCGACAGAGCACTCCTGAGCTCCAGTCTTAGCTGCTTAACTTCGCTCAGCTCTCGTCCTTGTGGTTTCTTCTTGCGTCCTGGGTATTCAGATTGCTCAGCGGCTGTGTTTTTCCTGTCTGGAGAATCGGAGCTGTGTTACTGTGTCTCTCGGCTTCCTGACTTGTAGTTCATTTAAGGATAAAGCTCTGAACAGTGCGGTGTTTTTAGAAGGTCTGAATGTGCTCCTGGTCCATCCTGGTTTTGTTTCTTCACTTAACTTTTGCCTTTTCTTTCTTTGAACCATCTTAGTGACTTTAGTTGTAAAAGCCTCGATTTTGCTGTCTTGTGTAATTTTGCCTTCCTGTGCAAAGCAGGCTTTGTTTTAAGTATCAGCTAAGAAAACCAAATTCTCTTTGTCCAGAAAGTCTCATGCTTCTTTCTGCGCCTGTTGTGTCCACGGGGAGGGCGTCGGGGCCTGGCCAGTGGCGTTTCCTCAGTTTGCGAACGAGGATGCTCCTTAGCGTGAGTCTCCTTGTGCGTCCCGTTTTCATTGCCGCCTCGTGTAATAGCTTTGCAAGACTCTTAGCCGTTTCGTGTTTTTTCTCCTCACTTTGTATCCCACCCCCATCAGAAAGCAGAGAGGACCAGGTGCCCCCGCTTAGCCCTGTGTAGTGCTTTGAGGATTTCCTGCTCAGCACCTAGAAAGTTCATAGAGATGGGTGGGTGTCCGCAGCAACACAGCAAAGCAGATGTTTTGCACACCTTCCTGTCAAGTAGTTTTCACATCCAGCCTGTGGTAGATAAGTGTGTGTCGTGCCCACCGGTCTCAGACACGGCTGGGCGGCTGCTGCCGTTTTTCCTGCAGGGAAAAAGGGTCCTGGCGATGTGGACAGGTGGACCTGGGAGGGCCTCTGTTTTGCTGGTTATGCTGTTCAAATGGTGTTTTCAAATTCATAGATGCAATGGGAGAAATGAACCTTTTTTTCCCTTTCTCTCTTTTTCTTGGGGTGTTGCCGCGGCTTTACCAGGCCTGTTATGGAATCCTCAAGGTCCCAGAGGGCAGCTGGCTGTGCCGGACGTGTGCCCTGGGGCTTCAGCCAAAGTGTTTGCTGTGTCCCAAGAAGGGCGGAGCCATGAAGCCCACCCGCAGTGGGACCAAGTGGGTCCACGTCAGTTGTGCTCTGTGGATCCCCGAGGTAGGTGTGGCTCTTCACAGTCGCTTAGCTCGGGATTCTGGCTTTTAGCTGGGGTGGAGGTGGGACCCCATGAATAAGAGAAGCTGTAGCGAATGAGGGAAGTGACCGTTGCTGTCGCTTTTTCTCCTGACACTGTTGTCTCATTGTGGTACATACGTCTGTGGGAACGTTGACCGGAAGCAGCAGTGAATAGGACTCTTGGTAGTGGTGGTCAGACTTGGCCGCGGATATCTGTCACACCAGCCCTCCCTCTGCGGACACACGCTCCCCGGAGCAGACCTGCAGCCTCACAGCTGTGGCCGGGGTGCGGCCGTGTCCTCCCCCAGGGCTGACTGTGACTCCTGCGCCTGGCGAGCTGTACACGCGACACCGCCATGGTTACAGCGCTTCTGCTCTAGGTCACATTTTTGTGATTTTTATTAAAATTCTTTCTTAGCCTCAACCTTTTAAATTTCAGGTCTGGTCTAATTTATTTCAAGTCCCAGACCTTGACTAATTTAATTTGCATGGCTCACTGTGAGAATATCATTTGTCGTTCAGATTTCAGCATTTTTTGTGTGTAATTTTTGGTCCATTTTCCTACTGAGGAAAATTACCTGGGGACAGTTTGGGTTGCGGCTTCATGCCTGGGGTCTTGGTAACACCGGACCTCGTGGTTTGGTACTGATAGGAATCTGGCCCAGCGACCCAGGCCACATGCGCAGACGACTTCCTCATCTTGGCAATTTTCTACTCAGAATGTAGTAACCTTTCCGGATTGAAGAGAACAGTTTTCTTTACTGAGAGATTAAAATTAGCTCATGTTGACTTACTCTATTGTCGACAACCTATTTTAATATATTTAAGATGGCTTTTCAGTCCTACCACTGGTTTCGTCGGCCAGAGGTGCAGTACATGGCCTCGGCCCGATACTTGGGTGTTTTGTTGTCAGACACTCAGGTGCGAAGTGAACGTCTGCTCATCTGAGTGTGTCATAAACAGGGATGACTCCTGGGCGCGTGGAGGGGGGTGGGCCTGGGACCGGCCCCCACGCTGCCTGGCGCTCTAAAGCGGGGTCTGCCTGTCCTCGGAGGTCAGGCGGCCTCGCACTGTCCTGTCTGAGGGGCGCCGGAGAGTGACGGATCGCTAAGTCTCGGCCGCCCGCGCCCAGCCTTGCCTGTCTGACAGCCCGCCGCCCCGCCCCGCTGTCTCCCGGCCCAGGTGAGCATCGGCAGCCCCGAGAAGATGGAGCCCATCACGAAGGTGTCTCACATCCCCAGCAGTCGGTGGGCGCTGGTGTGCAGCCTCTGCAACGAGAAGTTCGGGGCCTCCATCCAGGTAACCGGCTTAGGCGGGGTGGCTCACCCCTCCCCGTGTTGCAGGGCGTGGGGCGGCGAGGGCTCTGTGTCCAGGAGGCAGGCCTGGGGTCTGCCAGCTCTCACGAGGGTGCTGAGGGGTGGATGACTCCAGCCAGGACGAACCCCTTTGGTTGGCGTGCTGTTTCCGGTGTAGCCGGAACCCTGGCTTTAGCAATCAGGGCAGCTCGGAGCCCGCGTGAGCTGCAGGGACATCCTGGTTCGTCTCTGGCTACTGCTTCCCTGCTCCCAGCTTGGCAGCGCAGCTCTTCCCACAGAAGCCACT